GGTTCCTTTGACTGCAGCTCCAGAGCTCACGAAAACGACTCTACCGGTCAATTCGCTTTTACGCAAATAGGGTAACCCAATCTTTAGAGCGGTGACGAGAGAGAAGAAATTAATATCGAAATGTCTTTTCCAGGATTCCAGGGGAGTATCGTCCCCGATACGACAAAGAGGGTCAAGGGTTGCTGCATTGAGGACGAGACCATCAAGTCCTTTATAATGAGCTGCACCAAGAGCGATGGCATCAGATAAAGCCTTCTCGTCAGAGCTACGATTGAGGATATGAGGCATAGATCCACAAATGGATATAACAAGGCGACTGACATATCGCAGTTTACGATGAACAGTGACTCTGATAACAATTCGAGCAATTCTGGCGTGCGAGATCGCGATATGGCAACCACATTGGCGTTAAATTTATGAAGGAGATGACGAGTAACTGCTAATCCAATTCCTCTAACAAAAATATTTGTTATATTTTGAGAATAAGAATTGTAGGATAGGAACCCCGTACTTTGAAGCGCCTGTGACGACGATGATAGCCTTGTTCATCTTGCGGCTGTCTCCGGCACAATGTGTAAATTCTGAAAAAGGAAACGCCTTCCACCTGTCCATCGCTCTCAGAACGACCATGGTCTCTCGTCTGGCCCTCTCCCGACTCGCCCCTCTCCTCAACACTACTCGCACAACCTCATCAACCCTTTCACGGCGTGCTCTTTGTAAGGCTCGCTCGTATGCAACCTCAGACAATGACAACACAGTATGTCGTGAAAAACCGCTTTTGCACCCGCCACCTTATTCTTCAAATAGATGACTGTCCGTGATGCTCTCAATCTCGCCATGGAGGAGGAGATGACCCGTGACGAGACCGTGTTTATCCTCGGCGAAGAAGTCGCTCGTTACAATGGTGCCTACAAGGTCGCTCACTCTCCATTCAACGACTATGACGAATAAGGCACTCAAAATACTCATTTAGGTCACCAAAGGACTTATGGATAAGTTCGGCGAGAAGAGAGTCGTTGATACTCCCATCACAGAAATGGGTTTTGCTGGTTTGGCAGTTGGCGCTGCGCTCCAGGGCCTTCGTCCCATGTACGTTCTTAAAAACTCTGACTTTTTATTTGCCTTATCAGAAAAAAAACTAGTTGCGAGTTCATGACCTTTAACTTCGCGATGCAAGCTATTGACCAAATAGTCAACTCGGCCGGTAAAACTTACTACATGTCTGGTGGTAATGTCCCTTGTCCAGTCGTGTTTCGTGGACCCAACGGAGCTGCTGCTGGCGTTGCTGCTCAACATTCCCAGGATTATGCAGCCTGGTACGGTTCGATCCCCGGTCTGAAGGTCGTCAGCCCCTGGAGTGCAGAAGATTGCAAAGGATTGCTCAAAGTAAACGCGTCCCCCCTCCCTCTTTTTTAACCCCATACCTCATTACTTTTTCGTTAGTCAGCAATTCGTGATCCCAACCCCGTTGTCTTCCTGGAGAACGAGATGATGTACGGTGTTTCTTTCCCAATGTCACAGGAGGCTATGTCGGACAACTTCCTCCTTCCTATTGGAAAATGCAAAGTAGAGCGGGAAGGAAGCGACGTAACTATCGTCGCGCACAGCAAGATGGTCACACACAGTATGGAGGCTGCTGAGGCTCTTGCCAAGGAGGGCATTAAGGCTGAAGTCATCAACCTCCGAAGTATCCGTCCCCTTGACATCGACACGATCATCAAGTCTGTGAAAAAGACTAACCGGTACGATAAGCTCGTTTTATTAATTAAATGGCTCTCTAAAGTTGTGGGTATGTATAGCCTCGTCATCGTGGAAGGTGGCTTCCCAGCTTTCGGTGTCGGAAGCGAAATTTGCGCCCAAATTGTCGAGAGTGAAGCCTTTGACTACCTCGACGCCCCAGTCGAGCGGGTTACTGGTGCTGACGTTCCCACGCCTGTATGTTCCGTCCATATCCACATCTACGCCGCTACTGATCATGCATGTTATCTAGTATGCCACCAACCTGGAAACACTCGCTTTCCCTGATACACCTGTTATTATCAAGGTAGCAAAACGTGCGCTTTACCGCACGAACTAAATTTTAGGAGCCGTAAAAGGGTTGAAGGGCTATTTGCTATCGTTTAGAGACTTGTTGTTTTCTACTTGCTACGTCGTCGTACTCACACCCGCCCATAGACGCCTTAATATACCGCATATACCGGGCAGATTAATGCCTTATATCTGCGGAAGTTGGAGCCATATATTCATTTTACACTCTTGATTCGCGCAGACGAATTCGAACTGCGTTGGCATGAGCTTGCAGACCTTCGCAGTCAGCTAAGGTTGCAACGATAGGTCCAAGGCCTCCCAGACCAGCTGCTGTAATTTCTTGGGAAGTGATATGCTTTTGGAATGAGAGCGTGTTGACACCGCTGAACTGTCTGGCATAACCATTCGTAGGAAGAGTATGATTGGTTCCAGAAGCATAATCACCACAGCTATGGGAAGAAGTGAGCATTTCCGAGTGGATACATCTTAAAATAGCTGGTTACCTTTCAGGGGTGTAAGGTCCTACGAACACACTTCCAGCATTATCGATCAAAGCTACCTTTTGACTAGCATTTTCTAGGTGCAGAATAAGATGTTCGGGCGCGTAGTCGTTGGAAAAGGCAATCGCTTCATCAACAGTCGATGCTTTGACAGTGATACTTTTGCTAATAGACTGGCGGACGATGTCAACTCTTGGCAACGCGTGCGCCTGGTCGTCGACTTCTTTCTCGATGCATGCGAGATGCTCGGGCGTAAGGTTTACGGCGACCAACACGACTTGAGAGTCGACACCGTGTTCTGCCTGCGATAGTAGGTCTGCTGCCACGAAGGCAGGGTTGGCGGTATGATCAGCAATGACCTTGTCGTACCTTTGTATTAGATTTGGGGGGCGACAAACTCAAGATTGACCTAGGTAATACTCACAAGAACTTCCGAGGGCCCTGCCGGCATATCAATAGAAACCAGAGCATCCGTATCATTCTGTACAAACATCTTGGCAGCCGTTACCCATTGATTACCTGGTCCAAAAATCTTGTCCACCTTGGGGACAGTTTTGGTTCCATATGCCATGGCGGCGACCGCTTGAGCACCACCCGCTTTCAATATAGCCGACGCACCGACCAAATGTGCGACGTACATGACCTCTGGTGAGATGCTTCCGTCGGGTCTTGGTGGCGTGGCCAAGACCATTTCCTTACATCCCGCGACCTGCGCTGGGATTCCGAGCATGAGAGCAGTCGACGGAAGAATGGCGGTACCTCCAGGGACGTATAGGCCCACGCGGGCGATGGGACGGGCAAAGCGAGAACACACAACCCCAGGCATAGTCTCCACCACGAGCGTAGAACCATCCGCCTGTGCCTCATGGAATTTGCGAATATTGGCATACGCTACATCAATGGCCTTGCGTACATCTGTGTTTATCTGCATTGTTTCAGGCGCGAATGGCGGGAGGATGACGGTAGTCGTCATCTGTGCTTTATCGAACTTGGCGGTAAATTCGATGAGCGCTTCGTCTCCTCTTGTACGAACTGCATCCACAATGGGCTTTACTTTACTAATCATTTCATCTGATTTTAAGACAGGTCTACGGAGCAGTTGAGCGCGTGCCTCTGGCGAGGTAGTAGACAGATCCGAAGTGCGCATGCGAATTGGACCATCGTCTGGCTCTTGAGGGGGTCCGTTGCCGGGGGTAGAAACTATGCTTGGATCCTTCAATGTCCATTGTGGCTTCGCATTTCCAGGTCTCCTGGTAATTCTCTTTGCCTTTCGATCCAACGAACGTTCGATATCTGCAATGTTAACTCCAGTTGCAATGCATTTTGTCAAAGCAAAGTACAAAAGGTCGGCCGTTTCAAAAGTAACATCTTCCTTTGTCGATGCCTGGCACAATTCGTCGGCCTCCTCCATTATTTTTGATCGTAAGAGGTCAGCGTCATTAAAGAGGCGTTTAGTATACGAGCCTTCGGGAGCAGACTGTAAACGAGACTTCAAAACAGTTTCGAGGGCGGGAAGACCAGTGGATTCGCTGAAACACGATTGCCGATTAAGATGGCAGAAACCAGCACCATGCTGAATAACGCGAAACTCGAGACTGTCGGAATCACAGTCAAGTCGAATACGGGTAACATCCTGAGTCGCACCCGATGATTCACCTTTACGCCAAAGGCCATGCTTCCTGGACTGGTATACACCTTTTCCGGAGATGATACTTTCTTTGACTGACTCAAAAGAAGAGTAGACAAGTCCAAGTGTATGGCCCGTATGAGAAGAAACAACTGTGGGGAATAGACCATCGGAGCGATCGGATACTATGGGGGCAAGGAATGCGTCCGCAATGTTCAATGTAGAATTAGAACTCGAATCGAGAGTAAGCTGAGATTGGGGGAGGACGAGAGTGGCACCGATGGATCGGAATTCTCTGATATTTGCTAGGGTGGGTAGAGGCGACGCTGAATGAGAAAGAATGTATATTTCAGAGCCGGAAAAGAATTTGGAGACCGATGAAATAAAATCAAAGTCGATTGAAGGCGTCTTCAGTAGAACGCCCGACACTCCTTTTCGTACTTTGTCGGAAACGGCGCTGACGTTCCCGATGTCGAGGAGGAGGAGAAGACGTTCGGATGGGATTATGCCAGTAAGCTCTTTTACCCATGCCAGAGGCACAATGACCTTTTCCATTCCCTCATCAAGCCAGCCGGCTACAAGGTCGATGTCAAGTGGTGTAGTGTGGTCTACGAGTAGATAGGGATGCTGAGGGATTTCAGGAAGAGGGAAAGAGTTGTGAGCATCAATGATGATGGGTCCGATGCGATTTAGAGACTGGAACAGAGCTACGTTTTCCTCTGTGACAAGTGGTAAAAAGGTTGCCATTGTGGTCGACGAAAAAAAAGGGTTGATCATTTATTAGATTAGATTATGTATATTATATTAATATAGACTATTTATTAATTTTGTATCACCGGTACCAAGGCGCTGTAGTGTAGCGGTTATCACTCAAGATTCTGATTATCTCCGACTTCTTGTAACCCCGGTTCGATTCCGGGCAGTGCCTCTTCTTTTGATGACGCAACTACCACAATGACGTCATGGCTCACTTGAGGGTCTCATATCCTCCTCATCGTATTCCGACTTTGCACTCACTATTATGTCTGGTCTATTCATTCCCAATATTCTTCTTGCTGTCCCTCGCAACCCTATCACAGCCGTTGGTTTGCCCATCGCACTCGGATTTCTTAGCGGGTCTCCTGCTTCCAAGGTCGCCAACAGCAACTGGTACCATGTAAGATTGTAGTAACTTCTCTTCTTAGACTCGTATTTATTCCGTAGAATCTTTACAGTCCTCCTGGCCTTCCTCCTCGTGAGGTTTTCCCATATGTCTGGGCGTTATTATATTTGTCAATGGGATATGCATCTCACATCGCTGTCGATGCATTAGACAATACACTTCTTGAACAGAATAGGTACGTTCACATAGCCATCGAAGGTCTACAGTTGATGAATAAATTACAGGAAGGATCTGTCACTCGGATTAGCCCTCTACTTTGCGCAGCTTGGCTTGAATTGTATCTGGAGCCCCATTTTCTTTGGCGCTCATCAGGTATGGTCGTCACAAGTATTGGTGGCAGGCCCATCTTGAATAAATTCATCTCTGTGCAGCCTGGAATTGCCCTCGCAGATAGCGTCCTTCTGACGGGTACAGCATGGTATATGACAGTAAGTACTTTATTTAGCTGTCCTTTCGAATCTAATTATCGAGTTCTGGCAGAAAATGCTGGATGCCCCTACCAACGGGAAGGCCACTTATTTCCTCATCCCTTACTGTGCTTGGTTGGCATACGCAACCTACCTCAACGCTGGATCTTGGTGGTTAAACCGCGAGAGCAACACCACTCGTAAATAGAAATTGTGTTGCATATTTGGGTATCTCGGGGCTCGGGCTAAAAAACATTGAAGAGTATGTTAAAATCAGGATTCGAGTCCTGTGACACAGTGTTAAATGCTAACACGAAAGTAAGGCTAGAATTAAGCAGTACAGATCATCACAAAACATAAAAACGAGTTCGATAAACGGGGGTCGATATCAGGTTGGGCAGGTAATCCCGAATGTAAAACAACAAACAATGCAAAGGAATACGACACCAGGCGTACATTTGGAATTTTACTGCAACCATGAGAAATCATCAGTAAATGTGTTCGAGCAGGCGCGTATTATGTTACGTACAGAGAAATACATGAGGGCCTTTTGATTGGCATGCAAGGGCTTGAACGCTTGCTGGAATCGGTCAAGTTCTTTTCCAGGGTCCAGATAGCTTTCGCCGTCATCACCTGCCAAATCCCATCGACCTTGCGGATCATAATGATTCTTAGCTCGAGAGCAAACAATATCAGCGTCTAAAAGGTAATTTAGTAACAGCTATCTCGGGCAGGAAAATGCAATGCCTTACAATATACAGGAGCAGGAATAGATACAGAACGCGTGGACCGCGCATATACATGACATAACGCAAACGACAGCGATTGGAGAGCATCAGCACTTGAAAGCGACGTGATTGTCAGAGAGAAACCAAGACCTCTAAATGACCCCAAATACGCACTTGAAACCGGTTTCCTTCGCGAATACACAAAAAACATCAATTACTATCTAAATTCATATTGAAAATCAACTCACATCGTATAAAACCTGCATTTCAAGAATTAGGGAAAAGTAGCCGGAGATAATAATGACAACGCACTGAATAATGGGCGGGGCGACTGGTTCCCAGAAGACCTCCGTGACTTTGGAGATAAAAGTCAAATTCAGTAGGATGTGCTACCTCGCGATCGACGACCGTGCCAGCCGGGCAGTTACCGCTCTTATCAGCATCGCGCTCAGATTGCGGGAAGAACCTGAGGAAAGAAGAAACTGAGTCAACTTTGTTGAGCAATATAAATAAGCACGAATCGACGAGCCTGACGTGATGCCGCTTGCCAACAACAATGATAGTGATCTTAGGATCTATTCGTAAATCACTACAAGCCTCTGTAAGCAACACAGCAGTTAGCACCAAGGCATATCATAAGAAGAACAAGTACTCTTCAATAAAGGCAATTCTAAGGAGTTGTTATTATGGTCAATTGACGGCGAAGGAGAGATTGATGAAAAATGCGCACCTAGAGTTAGAACCTGCTTAAACTGTCCCTCCGAAACACCGTCTACAAAAGGTACAGATCAGACGAAATTCAAGGTATACACGGGGAAAGAGAGACGAACCACGGTAGAATATGATACGTTTGGGAGCCGCCGATGCCCCGACCTTTTTTTCCACGACCTCACGATACCGCATATACATACCCAAAACATGCTGCGAGCGGATAATGGTAAGTGGGGTACTAGTGTCCGTATCCTGGCAAAAAGGTATACTTTGCTCATAACTTCTAAATCTGCAATCATTTCTTGTCGTGAAGCCTGTACTCGTGAATCTGGACCAATTTAGGTATTTGGGCTCGATACAGTCATGGAAATCCCACCTGCAACATATTTCGCGGTATCTGAGTCAACGTTGCCGACCAACGCAGTAAAAGAGGGTCGACCATCGGCACCCGGTGAAGGATGGATAACATCAGCACCTGAAGAGAATGAGCAGTCAGTCCCTGATTGGGAGAGATTAGAGACAAATACATACCCATCACCATGGTTGGATAGTTAGGATCCGTCAGGACAGCTACAGAAGATGGGTCAGGAATAGTGTTGATTCCACCCAATTTAACATTGATCCTATCATGATAGACAAGTGAGATAGACTCGGAGAAGGAATGGAGAAATGTACTTTAAGCTAACGTTGGCAAAATATTGTTGCTTTGCTCGCGTACACTTTATACTCTTCATGCATTGAGTCGGGATTCCCATCTATAAAACCTAAGATTTTAGCGGGAGATGCCATGCATGCGGTTGTCCAAGACCGACCTCAATATCTCCAAAGCTAGTACAAAATGTCATAATTTTTTTTATAGAAAACAAAAAAAACAACGCACTGCTTCACGGCAGTATAGATGTCATTACCACCTTCCGGAAGGATGATCACATAAAGATTCGGAGGATGCTGATGTTTGGCAATGCATTCAGACCCGATACTACGAAGCTGGTCTCGAATATTAGCTTGCCCATTGACATATCGAACAATATTCGTCGGGGTAATGGTTATCCCTATGAACGAAGTTAACTTATGTTCCAATTCCGGAAGTGCGATGAATCCTTACCAACTTCTTGACAGCCGTCCATCAAACCTTTCATCATCTCGTTTACTGCTGGAGGAGGGAATCTCGCCTGCGACTCAAAAATGGCAACGACCCATCGATGGATTGGTTGAGGTTTGTAGAACCGTTTATCCATCCTGCACAAAAATAGACAATCAAAAATATCTACTCTACCTAGAAATGGTTGTAACCTACATGTTCCAAGATCCATTATTTGGTACCTTTTTTATTTATTGCCAATGAGAAGTAAAAGGCATGACACGAAGGGCCAATTAACTCACGATAGTAGGTTGTTTGCTGGTAGGTCCATATCTCAGCGTCGGAGGCTTCAAAACTCGAGCCTGCACTTTGAGCGGCCCGCTTGTATCGACATGCATGCCAAATTGGCGGACATACTCGGATTGTCCGTACGCCAGAACCTGTCACAACTTAATACAACATCACGCTCACAATCAATGAAGCTTACCGCCAATCCAGCTTTGATACTTTCAAGTCGATCACGTGGACGCTTGGTAGCAAAATCCAGGACGTCTTTGGTCCTCTCGGGAGGAATCTGTCTGCGCATTATTTGGCCTGGGGGAATAGTGCAAAGCTCAAGGGGGATGAGAGCTCCCGAACCAACCTAACACATGGTCAAACTATCATCGGGTTTCCTATTAAAAAAGGAACCAACCTCGACACAGCCAATATCTGGGAATTGTAAGGGTCGATTGTATGTTTTGTGGAAGTAATCTGCGACCGACATCGAGCCACCTTCCCGGAGTGTAAATCTAAGATTTTTAGCGGCAGTCGAATTCAATTTTCGGACGACGCGACCTATTTGGAGTCCAGTACTACTAGTCCCTGGTGGACCCGTGAGGACTCTCATGCCGCCGATGAACCTGTGGAGGCGCATGAATTCACGTTCACTCGTTTTGGGGGAGACGAGATGGGAAGGATGGTCTTTTCGGAGAAAATCAAGACATAGACGGAGAAGAGGTCCACTTTTGTACATGGTTGCAGTCGATATGTCGACATTGATGAGCATTTGGCCAATGGCTGGGCGGACAGATTGGAAGTACCCGCGCCACAATTGGATGCCCGATCCAATATCCTTGGTTTCCCGGTCTGTAAAGAAAGACCTCACGTTGAAGGGGTAGTTCATGGTGGGTTCCATGCGGATGACAACATTTAACGCCTACAATATATATGAGTAGCGAATACAGGAGAAATAACTTGGTTATATCTACAGTGATTGCAGTGAGAACACTATTGTCATGCGATTGTTCGCCTGAAATGAAGCGCCTGAGAACTCTGACCACCAAAAATTAGCACTACACAAAGGAAATGATAATGAGGGCGTACTCTGGGTTTATCTCGGCAACCTTTGTAATTTTCACTTCGTAGGTCTTAGGCGGTCGACCACTAGCATCCGACAAGGGAACTTCGAACTGAAGAAGAAAGATGAGATGGACGATGAAGCTACATCAGGTATTCCAGGATACCTCATGAGAGTTGCTAGGACCAAAGGGTAGTTGTCGAATAGCAAAGAGGTTTTTTCGGCCATCGTATACAGCACGAGGCGTGAAAATCTCGGGAGCCGTGAATAGCTGAAGCTGCTTGATGATCTCCATATTAACACGTATTGGTAGCTGCTTCTCGGCAGGGGGGATAACTAGAGACATGTCAGGGTTTCAGACAAGTGCATGCATTCAAGATATACACGGACCGACTAAAAAGAAAGCCAAAATGTTAGTTGCAATAGATTTCTACCATTGTTTCTAACTTACCGTCATAGTGATGTATGATACCTTCCGGTATAGTTGTCACGAAAGAGTT